AGTAGGTTTAGGAATGATTGGAAAAACTGCTATGTGAGTATTTTCTATTAATTTGATAAATCTGTCTTGCTTCATTATTTGGTGAAGTGCAAACCAGGCCAACAACTCCCATTATTATTTATAATACTTTTGTTATTGTAAATTTTATTATGTTTGTGGATTGTTTGCAGGACTACATTGCCAGGTTTGGGCACGGTAGCGCCAAGTTGGCTCGTCAAGCTCAGAGCAAAGAGAAGACATTACGGAAAATGGTAGAAGCGGGATTGACTGAGAAAGTCGTGGAAGACAAGGTAATGTGAGAATGGTGGTTTCAACCCAAGTACCCGTCTTGGTGCTGCAAAATCAAGAATTACCTTCCCTGAGTTGATTTTAGTGTATCTGCCTAGAGAAGAAGCACCTCATTGATTAAAAAGAGCAATGTTGTTCAAGAGTCTTCATTTTGTTGCATGGACGCACCCCTACCACGTGCAGTTCATAGTCGTTTGTGAACCAGTGAAGTGCAGTTCCTACCAAAGGAGCCTTTGTTGCTTGGAAAATTGCGCCCTCTCTTGGCCCAGCTCTTGGCTCATTCAATTTATGAACACCTGCAGGTTCCTGTTTCATTTTGATGACTTCTTCAATTGACACACCCACCAATTCACTTTTTTGCACGATGTTTAGTTATTTTGTAACATTTTCTATTACAGACGATATCCTTTTATTTTCCTGACGTGGAGAAGGTTCCACCTCCTGTCATCATGGTCCAGAATGTGTCCTTCCAGTATGCCGAAGACAAGGTAAAACCAACTCTACAAAACACCATATCAAATATTTTACGACTCGCAGTAATCCAGATTCCTGCTGAGAAAATCTTGTAAAAAATTCCATTTTATTTTTTCAGCAGTAATATTTCGTAGCCATGGATACCTTGATGGAGGAACAGATAGCTCACCCTTTCCAACTTGCTTGCTCTTTGATTTTTTTTTTTTAGCCACTCATCTACAAGAATCTGGAGTTTGGGCTGGATCTGGATAGTAGGATAGCATTGGTAGGACCAAATGGTGCCGGCAAGTCAACTTTACTCAAACTCATTGTAGGAGAACTCATTCCATCTGACGGCCTAATACGAAAGTATTCTCATCTACGGATCGGCAGATACCATCAGGTACTAACACAAGAACATTTTGAAATCCAAATTATTTTGGAAAGTGTAACTGATAAAGAGAAGCTGGTTTCTTTTTTTTGCACAAATATGGCAGGAAAATATGTTTTGATTTTTTTCTGACAGCATTTACAAGACCTGCTGGATCTAGACTTGAGTGCCTTGGAATGGATGATGAAGAACTTCCCAGATATCAAAGAGGTGGAGAAAATGAGGCGAATCATTGGTCGCTATGGGCTGACTGGCAAGCAACAGGTGAGTTGAGATATAAAGATACAGGAACCTCTAGCACAAATACCTCTACCTATGACTCCTACTTGTTGTGAGTCAAAGACACCTGTTGAAGGATTCTTAAAATGTCTGGGAATAATCAACATCACTATCTGAAATGTTTCATTATATCAGAAGTCAAATCATTTTTCATTCAAATGATATTTTTTACCTTGTTAGATCTGTCCTATACGTAACCTCTCGGATGGCCAGCGATGTCGTTGTATTTTCGCCTGGTTAGCTTTTCAAGGTCCACACATGCTGTTACTTGATGAACCTACCAATCATTTGGATATTGAGACTATTGATGCTCTAGCAGATGCCATTAATGACTTTGATGGTGGTCTTGTGCTTGTTAGCCATGACTTCAGGTTAATCAACCAGGTGGGTAACCAAGTTCCATTTTTGCGTAAAGTCAACTCTCATTATAACAAAGTGACAGAGAATGGAAACATTTCTATTTTGTAACCAAGATTTGATAAGGTAAGGAGTGGAAATACAAAGGAAATACAAGAATTCAAAATTGTGATTCTCGGAATTTGCTCTCTTTATCAGAATTTTGTTATAACAGTGTTCTTTGTATCAAGAGTCAACTGTATGCATTTTGTTAATTTCTCCTTGGAGAAATATTGTCCTAACATATTGTCGCATTCAGTATTTTGAGAGAGCATTTGATGCTTGTTTAGATTGTCTCATTGAAGTCAAGGTGATTCCATGTTCACAGTGGACTTCTGGCAATCATGAGGATCCATTCATTCTCTCTTTTGTTACAAAGGTTGCCAAGGAAATCTGGGTTTGTGAGAAGCAGACAGTTACCAAGTGGTCTGGGGACATCTTGTCTTACAAAGAGAACCTGAAGAGGAACATCTTGAAGGAGGAGAAAAGCTCCAAGAAGGAAGGGGGAAAGAATGGAAGCAAAGCCAAGAATGGAACCAGCAAGAGCGGAAAAAAGTAACGTAGAGAACATCCTTTGAATTGGAGTTTGGGCAGGTTGGCTCCATACATCTACATTTACTTATTGGAAAGATTGTACGGTTATCTGTAGTTGGTCTGGTTGTCTGGTATTGGATTTGCTGTCACCCTTTGAAGCTTATTTGACTTGTTGGAAAACTTTTGTCACCCCTGAAGATGTTTTATGAGAACAATTTATAGTGTGTGTTTCTTGACCATTCTAAAAGACGGTCATTGTGTGCAGGTCATATAAAGCCAAGTGTTTAAATGTGAAGGTTTCGAAGATGACCGTAGACAACTTATACATGTGTTTGGTGTATGCGTGACAATGGAAATTTGACAGTGCAATTCTTGATACAGATCTCAGACCTTCTAGAAACAACGATGAAACAGGCAGTTAAAGTTTTCTCTGGGGAAGAGTGATGGAGGTAACTTGGTCCAGTTTTATTGTACCCTTGAATACTTGACAGAATTTGTGCTGAATGTAAGAAGTGAACTAGTTTCATCCATCCCCATTCAGAATTCTCGCGTTACTTTAACACTCAAATAACTTGTTTCTTTACACTATATCAGGTCCCATAGCATAAACCTAGGTTACCAGTCGTGCAGCTTTTTACCAGTGAATTTTGGCAGAATAACTTCCAGGTGCGTGTGGTTCAGATGTGCAGAGGAAAGACTGTAACCAGGCCTGTGGAGGGAAGTGGTGTACACTCAGGTAGTTTGATTGGGAGGGGGGTTGCCTTTGAGAAAGTTGGCAAGATTCATGACAATGAACACTTTCATCATGTTCACTATAAAGCTGGTTGGTTTGGGTCACTGGAAGCAGTGAACAGTTTTTAAGAGTGCAAGTATTTTCTTGGAGGGGGGGTTAGTTTAGATTTATGATGTTTGTTTGTTTACAGACTACACAATCCATAAGGTTACAGCTGCAACAATGGCATATCCAGCGTTAGGTGTTTCGAGGTCAAACTCAAAAGTGAATACAGCTTCAGGCTCATTCAAAAAAAATAAAAAACCTTACTCATGTCCCAACATCCTTGCTTTTATTTGCTGGTGTTGTTTTCTTAGGAATTTGCTGCTAATATTTGATAAATTAATATACCAATTACTTTCTTACCTAATCACCTATGAAGTATAATTTAAAAAAAAGATGGGGCACAAATTCTGCCAGGAGGGCAAGTCCCCCCCTCCTCCCCGCTCGATAGGCCACTGAACTGCAGACAAGCTTATGTTATGACACATTTCAAGCAAATAAGTGACTCCGTACACAGATGTCTTTGAGTTCCCATGTTATTTCCATCATTGCAAAACTTCCATTGGGTCACATGTATAAACGACTGTTTAGTAAGGCACATTTTAATTAAATCATTAAGCAGGTTATTTATTGCTTTCTATGTATTGTCCAGTGTGAAAAGTTAGGTGATATTTTAATAAACCATTACGTATGTATGGAAGTGTTTTTTGTTATTGGCTGATGTATTTTATTTCATGACAGTGATGGAGATGCAGAGAAATGCAACATCATCAGGTTGTATATTTTGAAGGAATTTTTCCCATGATTTAAAGTATCACCTCACGATCGAGTCTTTGTAAAGGCTCTGTGAAAAACCTACTATTTTAACCTAACCGGTTATCTTCTAAAGGGATTGTGCGTCTACTATAATAACTTGCCTCTATCATGAAGTATTTGAATTTTCAAAGGATGACAGTTGAGCCTCATAATGGAGAGATCCTTCGGACTTGGCAGACTACCTTGTTACAACAGGAACCTTGTAATATCAGGTATCAAAATAATCAACAAAGGTTTGGGGCCTAAAACTTTCCTTGTCACAAATAGAATATATTTGTTGTACTAACAACATTCTTAACATAACTTTCCAACAATTCACTTTGGTGATGGGTAACTCATAAATGCATCTAATACATGTACATCTATCTACTCTTAATCTGCATGATTTGAGAAGGTGATCTATTGAGCTTTAGATTTGTATTGAGAGTTGAGGGTGGCTGGCACAACACTGAACCAACTGAAGAAATTTTGCTCTTGGCACAAATGCGAATGTAAGTCTGATATCCTGAAATATTCATCCAAATATTGGCTTCAGTTTTCAAATTTCCATAGCAAATACTTGTGTTACAACAGATTTACGGTTACAGCTATCCTGCCAAGTCTGAAATTCTTTAAATTCACACTAACAGAAGTACTGATTATTGTGTACTTTGATTTTAACATCTAAGCATAAGCAACAAGTCAAGTGAAAATGCTTCAGCAACTACAAACACAGTATAAATGGAATAAATTTACAAAACTTCTAATTTTTACCTATAACAAAGATTATAAAGCGATGTATGACACGAACAGTGTATCATCAAGGAGTTCAATCAATTCGGTGATTCTTGATTGACAGTACCCCTCAGATCAGCCTGAAAGCTGGAGGACACAAGCCATCATTTGAGTAAGTTTGTAACTCTTTCAATAGTGCAAAATAGTTGACTACAATATGGTACCCACAGTTGGATGTTTCAAGTTGTACTGCTCTATATCCTGAAATATCCAAACAAATACATGTACTTTCTGTTTTCTTTTCTGAATTCTCGGTAATTTTTATGGTTCCTCTTTCCAAATTGGAAGATCATCAGAACCTGTCTCGTAACTCCTTGTGATAACATCTATTCATATCAACTCCATATTAATTTGTTGGGAAGAATTCCATACAAAAACCTAACAATTTTTCCCTGATATGACGTTTGCTATCAATTTTTAATGTCATTTTTTCATCCTAGTTTTGTGTAACTTTTTGTGCTTGTACCTTTTGCCCATAATCTAATCCAATAAATAAATATCATAAATGTGCCCGCTCTGCAAAAAAGGGGTAATAAGTTGTGCAATTCCAAAATGTGTTATGGCCTGTTCTATTTGGAGAGGGCAAAACGTCTTCAAAAATGTGATTTTGAGTTTTTTCCTCTATTAGCTTGAATAACATTTATGTTTTCAGAATTTGTGACTACAAACACGGACACTGATGAATAAAGATAAAAAATGGATCATTCAGTAAGAAATCCTGCATAGCATTGTGTTTCCAAGTGCTACACTTTCTGAGCTTTATCTCGGAAAGTGCTTTTGCATCCGAAACTGTGGATATACAAATGTCTAAGTATCTCCCGAAAGCAGTGCACTACAGGGGGTCATTCATAAATCAAATTGTGGCTTTTGATGTACCCAATCCAGCCATATCAAACACGGATAACCTGAATCTGGCGACTTATTACCCATTTTCCTAGAGTCAGTCACAAATAGAGAGTTGTAACATATTGATTATGAGCAGTACCACCCCAAAAAAGTTAAATCTGTTTTGAAACACTTAGAAACCCCCTGCAATTTTTTCTGATCACTCTTTTGCGGTTTGTGCACTGAGTATCAAATTGATTTAAGGTATGGAATTCTCTCCAACTTACAGAATAACGTTTACAGCACTTTTTTCTAAGATTACAAAGTACTAAGAAAATAACTAAGACAAAAACTCTGGCAACATTTATGTACAGAAAGTTCAAAAAGAAATTTCTCAGGGCTCAAATCACCAGTGTTGAGGGCAAGTCCAGTCACAAGTCGTTTTATGAAACAAGTCTTAAGTAAGAGGGAGAACAACATTAAGGGAATGTTTTGGTCATCTTTGAAATCTTAGTTTAAGACCGGATGACTTTTGAGGATGGCCTTGTAAGGAGCTTGACTACAACACTTCCTATCACAGCTGCCCAGTATGTGCACAACTACAAACATGAAAGTTATTTACTTTGCTATAAGCACAGCTTCAACTGCAAACATTTGGTCTGTGCATCATCTGGACAAAGAAAAATTACTTTTTTCCCTTTCTGTGAAGAGTACAATAGACTACTGAATCTGAACATTCTACATGATTTCACTTACAACACGATACCTTACAATTAAACACAGGGTCACGGGTGGAGAAGTAAGGGGGTTGCAAGGCAGAGGGGGCAAGAGGGTAGCACTTGCCCATCCTCTGAAAAAAAATTGAAGGCAAAAAGTAAAAGAAACGAAGATGAAGATGATGGGGAATGCAACCTATCAAAGATTTACCCCTCCCGACTGTCAATGGTTGATCAGTTTATAGCTGATGAGTGCTTTGTTTTTATTGTTTATTCGACCAAAACAAAATAACAGAGTTTAACAGTGTGCATACAAGCAAAACAAGAAAAACAAAATTACAAAGCGGAACAAAGAAAACAAACAACAACATAGGCAGATGCGGGGACCACAGGCGAACAACAACCGAATACAAGGAGAAGACTCACGACTGTTATGTGGGTTAGAGATAGTGACTGCAAAAGTAGAATTAAGTACTGCTACCTGCAGTTGCAGCACCTGCTTAAGAAGTAATGGCCCAACAGGGAACTGACAGCCAGTGAAGCAACAGATGGAATTATGCATTCGGTAAAAAGCGACGACTTTAAGGTCCTAAGGAACTGTTGGAGGAATCAATAACAGCAGTCTTTGATGTGGTGGTAAGGAATTCCATTCTGGGGACACTACAGGGAGGAATTTCCCCAGAGGAGAATGAAACAATGCTTGTGTATGGGCAGATCAGAAAGATGGCAGAATGTAAACAAATCCTGATGGCGTAGATTCACATGAACATTATTGGTGAAAGTCTTACAAAGACATTGACAATGTGAACATTTGAGTACAAAGGAGCAGAACAAGAAATGCGTTCTGGATGATAGAGAAAGCCAGTTAAGCCAAGCCATGCGAGTTCAAGTGCTGTACGTTGTACATGCTCGATCTCTTGTTGCTGGGAAAGTGGGTGTGTGTGCCCCAGCAAGGGCTGCCCCTACCTCTGAAACAATTCCAGCGACACCAATACAATCAAGATAAATGCATGCAACGGCTGTCAACAAAAGGCTGCCTTTGAGCTTAATCACCTCCTGGGCTGGTATCGTCCTTTTCGGGCAGAGACAAAGCAAGCAACATCAGCTCCGACATCTTTTCCGGGTCTTCTTGGAGGTGGGCAGCCCTCAGCAAGTCTTCTGAAGAAGATGAGTAAAAATCGTCATCTTATTTAAAACATGGTAGGAAACACCTAGTCATCGGACACTCTCTTGGCTATTTCTGTCTATGGTTCCGTCTGCGCACATTTAACTCGCCTCCATTTTGCAGTTTTGGATCTGTAATCTTATCCAGTTTTCTTCCTGCGTCATCTTATCTGCTATTATCCTAAGATACTCTTGAGATTCCCTCTATTAATGTGCTACTCTGGGGTTCTTACAAATTTCCCCCATGCAAAAACAGAAAGTTTCATTTACTACGAACTTCCTCACAAAAAGGTGTATCTTACCTTTCAGGAGGGAGAAGTAGTCCACATCTGACATTGTTAGTTGACTTTCTTGACTGGCTGATGCCTGCCATGGAGGACCATGGCTGTGCCCTGCTGGTATCTCTTGGCTTGCAGGTGTTTCTGGATCAGTCTGTGAGGTAATATCGCTCACAGCTGAAAATGGAACCATACCTCTCAGAGCCTCTGGCCGGGATGTAGCATTGTTATGACGACGCTCAGGACATGAGTATGAAATGAACTCTCCAGACTCATCGAAAATGGGCGTGTCAGAAGCATAGCATAATGGTGACTTAGATCCAGTAGAGAAAGAGCTTGCAGGCCTCTGGTACATGTCCCGGGCATTGTAGGCTCCAAATTTAGTGCGGGTAACGGTTGACCGTGGAGAAGATGTCTTAGATGCAGTCGAAAACTTAGCCAATGCTTGTAGGAAACTGTTACCAGAGTCTGAGGGTGGTCTATTGCGCCTTAAGCCGCAGGCTTTTCTGCCAGGATGTGAGACAGTTGATGGCTGGTTCTCAACAGCTTGTTCAGTAGCAGTCTGTAGAAACAATCCTGTGTGACTCGCATCTGGATCGTCTCTAAGGAAGTTTCCCATCCTGACCAAGTTTTTCTTTGTCAGTGGGACTTTCTCCTCTTCCTTATCATCAAGTTTATCCTGAGGCAGCAGCTTATCCTTCCTCATCCGTTTGTCCTCTGGGGGTTCCCCCCCACCTGGATTCAAACAAAACAAGAAATACAGGGTGTCCACATAAAAAGTATACCGAGATAAAAATTACTGTACTAGCAAAACTTCTTTATATATGGGAAAGGGAAATATATCTCTAGAAAGGGCAGAATGCCCTCTTTGCAATGGTACACAGCTTGTGATGTTATTGACACAGATGAGTGAACAAACTAGACCGGTGTTATGGGTACTGAAATCGGCACTGTGACAAGTTTGTATATGTGATTAACAAAGCTAGACTATGCAAATGTGCAGAATACCAAATGCCTTTGCTTTAAGAACGCATTCTTGAAAACAAGGAATGCACCTAAATCAATCTTATCTGCTTTGCTTTGGCTACTTACCTCATCAGTTTAATGTGCCAAGTCCTCCACATGGCCACCATTTTTGTCAATGCACATCTGACATCTTCGTAACATGTCCCTTACTGCTCGTCTGATATTTCTCTTTCCCATATATAAAGTAGTTTTGCTATTGCAGTAATTTTTATCTCGGTATACTTTTTATGTAGACACCCTGTGCAATCTATCATTGCTCACAGATAACCTTTATCCACTTTGCTACATTGACAATCATTCATGAAAAGGATGCACACAGTAAGATGACTTTATTGTAATGAAGGTCAATGCTTCTATGCATCACGTTTCTGCCTTCATACTTATGCTCCATACATTTACATCTTTCTCATCTGCCACAAATTTTCTACTTTCAAATGAATTGTACTGAAACTGTTTCCAAACCTGTTCCTCCAGATGCCCCTGTCCTTCCGACGTTGGAGAAACCCGACCTGGAGTTACATGTAACCCTCTCGGCAGAATTGGATGTCTGCTGAATGAAAGGATGAAACTGAAAGTGCATTGTGGATGTACATGTACTTCTATTACTTTTCATAAAAACAAAGTTATCACAACCTTGTTTCACATGCTCTGGTGATAATTTAGTATAGATCACAATGGTAAACCCTGGGGAATTCTTATTGACCATCACCATTGTAGAATTAAGGAGATTCTCTTCAAGCATGTCAAGTTGACTGGATTAAGACTAACCCGCTTTGTTCCACCTGTTTGACCTTTCTGTTGACCCTTGGATGTCTGGTTTGATGAGCAACCACCTTCTGGCTGGACAGGATGCTTCTTCATCTTTTCCCATGCTTCATGCTTCTTGGACTTTCTCTGTGCTGTCTTCTTTGGCCCCCTGCTTGTCATCTTTGAGTTTTTCTCTCTGTAATTTGCAAAAACAAACTCAATAAGTAGTGATCAATTTCTCTTGGCCATCTGTTGTTATAGCACTATGCCGATTAACTGTTTCTCGCAAATGACAAGCAATATAATTTTCTAGACTGTGAGAAACTGGCTTGTGGATAACATCAAACACATCTGTGTCTTCATAGAAGAAATGACATGTGAGGGATGCAACATGCTCGCTCTTAGAATTGGACAGTATGTGCAAACTGGCAATATGGAATGTGTAATACAGGTTGATGTAGCATACATGTACATGTAGTCTGTTCCTAAGGACTGACCAATCAGGACAAAGGATCCAAGTGTGTTTGAAGCTGAGGATTACTTTCTTACCTCCCCTGAGAGCCTGCTTTCTGTCCAGAAAACACAGGTGGGGGTATGCTGTCTGGCAAGACTGGTGACATTGCACGAGTCAAACTCTGCTGTGGTTCTTGACTGGAATGCTCAAGGGAAGTGGAAAGAACTTTCCAGGGTAAAACTGACTTAGGCCGGGTATCTTGACTTTCTCCCTCGGACAAGGATCGGAGATTGCTTGCAACAGCTGTAGAATTCCCTGCCCATGCTGTCAGTACCTTTTCCTTGGATGATTCTACAGTTTTCCAAATTGATCCTTGAGTTCCAGTCTCCATATGGGCAGTGGCCTCAAGGAAACCTGACCAAACCTCAATCCAACTGACTGAAATCACCATTTTGGAAGACAGGCAAACACTCATCAACCACCACGAAGAAAACATCAAGACCTGATTTGGTTCCTGATACAATGTTGACATTGAACAGTCGGGAAGGTACCAATCATCTTTGACTTCTCCAACACCCACCTCTCTCTGGCTGCATTCTCCGTCCATCCTAAAGTCACCCTCAGACAACTTCTCATCCTCACCAAGACATGTCTTTGCAATACTCCCCTCCTCTTGGACACATCCTGCCATCTTAGAATCATCCAAGGACAACTCATTCTCTGCAATTCCAAATCTGATGCTTCTCTGAAAATGCTGATTTGTATCAGACAGTGCAGTAAGGCTCTCACCTACCACCAGATCAGAAGTCAGAGTCACAACATCTTGGAACTCAATTTCTTTGGACTCAAAGAGACCAACCTGTACTGCTTCTGGGTTTTCCAGCTTGTACACAACTGACATCTTTTGCCGACAATTCAAATAAGCTTCGACGCAGTCTGAATAATCTCTTTCAAAAAATTCCACATATGTGTGTGTATCAGTGCATGTTTGAATGTTGTCCTTTTTGCTCTTCCTGAATGGGAGCTTCAACTTCTTAAAGCATCTGCAGTTACAGAATAACAAGAAAAGTAACATTTGACAAGTTTTGCACAAAATTCTGATGACTATTTCACATTTAATTCAAATACAAATGATTCCAAATATGCCTGAATATTTAAGGCCAAACAAAAAAAAACGCTTTGCTCCTGACCCAACCTAAAAATCCTGCGGAACCTACATATACTGTATATCTTTCTATTTGACAAATCAATAAAATATTAAAACTTACAGAGCCTTGCCCCGGGCCTAATTTTGTTTACATCGTCCTGTACTTTGTATTGATTTAATTTTTTTGCATGAAGCATGAAAAATGAAGCTCTGAATTGGTGAAAGGAATTGATTTCTTTTTTGAAGCTGACTAAACAGTTTTCTTTCCTTTCAATGTGCATTCTGCAGCCATTAACAAATGGCTACAACTGGCAAGAACACAAATAGCAAACAGCTTTAGGTGGAAACTGGTGACTGTGTTTTCCACATTTTTCACGACAGTCACTCACAGAAGGTCTTTGATGATGATGATCCAGTACTAAACTGAACAAACATCAGTTATCATAGCCAGTAATGGAAAAGAGTGGTATACACTGTGAAACCACACCTATCCTTGTGAGGAATTTCCTTTGTTCTTGTGAAGTAAGAAAACAGTGTGCAAAGTGCGGTTTGTAATTGCCTTCATCTCATCCGGAATCATTTCCTTGGCTGAAATTTCGATTGAATGGCCTTAATATGAAACACTTCAACTGAAACAGATATGCAATTTGAAAATTAATTTCCAAATATCTGTTTCATGAAATTCTTGTGGGGTACCATTTTAGTACCCCACAAGTACAACCAATGTTCCTTGTGGAATAATTCCCATTGTTCTGATACCCCACAAGGCACCATAAACACCTGCACTTTCTGCCCGGAGACAAGTGCTATAAATAGAATACCTGCTCCAGATGTCATGATTGGTTAGTGACAGGAAACATGTTCACTGAGAAAAATGACAACATGACTTGTTCAATTGACACTGTACATTATGAACACCAAACCTTAGATGTTCAAATGGTTAAACAATGAATTTCTGAAGGGAAATGTAGTTTCCATGGTTTCTGTAAAACGCTGACTAATTTTTTTTATGTACATCTGGGTTATGCAATTAAATGTCTTACTGCAGCAAATGAAGAGAATAATCCTAATTAGGAGGATCTGTCATTTCTTACCGGTTAAGCTTTGCCTTTAAAGGGTGTTTTTCTTTGGAGAAGCTCATTGTGAACAGGTTGGAACCTGAAATGAAACGGTCAAAGTATAAAAGTTTGTTTCTCCATACATGTATGCATGCAAAAAACAATACAAAATGGGATCCCAGCAAAAAGCAGAAAATTATCAGCTGGTCTGTATTATGTATATGTACATGTACTGACAATAAAACCTATAAACACAGGCACAGAAGTGATGCCCACTAATTCTTTTTTTTTCAAATTTAGCATCTGCTAACAAGGGATCTTATAGATACCAGTACTATTAAATAACCTCAACTGGGCCTCATCAGGGATTCCTCTAAGACTGAATTATCTAACTGTCCTATCCCGGTCCAGGTGAAAAACAGCCTCTCTAGTAATATTGATTCTACCCACTCCCCTACATGTAGGTGGTATTTGATGCCATACATATTTCCACTGTATCGTGGTTTGGAAAAAATGTAAAAATTTGATCAACAGCGTATTAACGATTTGTACAAAATGGAGGTTTGCAAATTTTGATCAAGTAAAAATTACACCTGTCCAAAACTATTTTGCCCATCTTTTGAACAAGTGGACGGATTGTTGGGCAACTTTATGGAGGGTGAAGGACTTTGATACAGGTACGTTAAGCACAACTCAGTGCTCATAATCATTGAGTTAAGTATGCAGATCAATATATGCTCCTACTCCTCTATGCGGTTTTCATGTATGTGCAAACCTTATGGAACACACATCCAAAAATGGAGACTGAAGAAGGGAACTACTGGCACCGGTAGAATACACGTATGCAGTAAAACCCAGATGCGTGGGAGTGTGATGTAGACAAACATGATGCCCTTGTTTGAACCTGACAACAAAGGGCCGGTGACCTGAATAGACTAAGGCTAAAGGGATACACCATACGTGTCATAATTACAAATACATGTACAACGTGATGTTCAAAAAGTGTACATAAAAATGAGTTGTTCACACGTGCAAGGTTGCCAGGAGAATACAAGAAGAATTCTTTGTGGGAAGTCCTTTCCAGAAAAATATCAAACAGAATTAATTCAATCAATAACACTATCACTAGAGTACAAGTATCAAAATCCCCAAGATGAAAACAAGAAGACAAACAGAAACCAGGAAGCTAACCTCCTCTGATAAAAATTGTATTTCCACATGAGTGAGCCTTAAGATTAGTGCCAAACGCTGTCAATAAATCAATGCCCAATCATTTTTCAAGGGAAAATAATGATACAATATACATGTAAGTTTGAGAAAACTTCTCAAGTAATATCCAAAAGGCATTCGCCTACCTATACTAGTAGTTTACTCACAAAGGTTCTAAATCCCATTAAAACAATGGATAAGCCCTGAAGAAGAGAACCCACCTTTCATCTTCTTGCCTATTTATGCGTGCACACTTGTTGATAAATTTAACTTAAATTTCATTTGTAAAGCAATCCAACCACATGTACATTCTGGTTGAACCTTTGAACATCTACATGAACTACAAAATATGTGTAAAATAAGTGAGCAGGCTTTTTTCTTTCAGTGTTCTTTGATCATGAGGTAATTTACAACTGAATAATTTGCCAGCATGACCAACTATACATGGAAGCAACTTTTTTTTAGCAAGTCAGGCAAGTTGTCTATTGTTGACACAAACCCCCCCTGCATGCAGACTGCAGAGCAAATCATGCTCAGTGTGGATGAGGTGAGGGGGTCATCAGGGCAATGGGAAATTCCCAACTCTTTTGGGACTGCGTCACAAGCAAAACTGCATGTGTACAGACAAAAATGATACTTTCATGTCAATACCTAGGTGCAGCTTGTGTATTTGAGCCAGTAGTATGTAAAGTTTCATGTAATAGAAATGGCGGAATATCCAGACAGATTCATCAAACTTGCAATCAATTACAAGTCATTAAAAAATTCAAATTTACAAATGAATAATTTAGGTGTTGTATACATGTAGGTAAAAACTCGAATTCGCATGCTTTTGTCTTGACAGTTCACGATGTCCTTCGAATAACCGACAAACAAAAACATTAGGCCTTACTGATTATTACAGAGAAATGCACATCCACATATCCACACACAAATAACGTATCTACATTACATCATAGTATCATAGAACAGAATGTAATCACATGATGAACTCTTGGGTGGGGTGGAACTTGATTGGCACACCTACTTAAATATTTACAATGGCTGAGAGGGGTATATAGCCTCCTTACTTCCTAATTGATGTCCTTGGGCATGACACTTTGCTGCTTTAAATTCAGGATGGCAAAGGGAATTGCTTCAAGTTTAATAAGCCATCCCTGCTTGGATTTTTGAAAATGAAAGAAAACAAAATTTCAAGTCCATCAAGGAAAACATCCTCTTCATTTAAGGTTGGAAAACATGTACTTTGTTTTTCGTCACTCAAGAAAAAAGATGTGAGAAGTGTCCTGTGCCATTGTGGGAATTTTTTTTTCAAGTTCCATCCAACTGAAGTCTGCTGCACAGATGCAATGTATTTTCCATCAAGTACACGTACAAGCCATGTACAGATGTTATAAAATTAAGAATTTGTTTCTGATTCCAATCAGTTTAGGGGGGGTGAAGAAGGGGGCAATAGGGTGGCTTGCGTCCTTCGAGGCAGGAGTTCCCCCGTCCCCTCCCCTGGCTACCGGTACATGTAGCAGTGTTGTAGTCGAGTACTTTTTTCCAAGTACTAAGTACTGCGGAGTACAAAGACTGGTCGAGTACATGTACTTTGCCAGCCGAGTACAAGTACTGGTTTCCGAGTACAAGTACTTGCACTTCCGAGTACGGGAACAAGTACTTCTAATTCCGAGTACGAGTACAAGTACTTCTAATTCCGAGTACGAGTACTTCTAATTCAAAAGTGGTTTTATCTTAATTTAGAGACTCTAAAACCTGCCACTGTGTTAAAACCCCGAATGCAGATGACATGGCTACAAGAACAAGTGATCTGGCTAGCAATGCCACGGTCACTACGTGTGGGTTGAAGCACTGAGTTGACACAACGTGCACAGCGTAGCGAAGTCTATTTTCAAAACTCAATTATTCACATGCCTAAGAGTTTCTGTATGCTGGGTTCGTCATTAGAATTTTCGGGTCCAGGAACCAGACTACCAATACTCAAGTAAATCACGGGACCATTCTGGAGTATCACAATATAATTCGCGTACGTGATTGGTTAGATACACGCACAGACGGTGAATGGGTCGTATACGTTAATGGTCCCACGTTCGGCCTTCTTTTTTGTCAGAATCGTATCGAATATCGGGTCATTGGGGTTGATATTTTTGCACCTTATTTTAACGGCCATGGTAAGTTAACTTAAAGGATTTTTTAAATTGAGTACTGTTAATTGAGTATGAGTACTTTGATGCTCGAGTATAATTTTTGGATGTCGAGTTCCGAGTATTTTGTAGCCTGAGTACAAGAATTGTAGTTCGAGTACGAGTACTTGGATGTCCGAGTACAAGTACGAGTACTCTGAAGAGTACTCAAGAAGTACTCGAGTACGAGTACCAAGTACTACAACACTGACATCTAGGCCACTGAGTTTGTATAATAGATAGCTATTTCTGGAACCTGGTTATGCGTGCATATATATGTCTACACTAAAATAATGCAAACAAATGGCATGGCGACAGCCCACCCCCCCACCCCCAAACCCAAAATTTTCCAGGGGGCGGTGGGAATTAAGAGTTCTCACAAGGGGAAGGGCATTACCCTTTTGACTAGCTACGCTACTGAGCTCTAGGCCTATGCATAAACTAGGAGCGTAGGCCTCCATGTACATGTACATGTACATCTAGTCATGGAGGAAGGACACAGAAGGAGTTTGAACTGCCCGGGCTATAACATCTGGCCGATTACCACTTTCTGCCATGCCCGGTATGTCCATAGCCCGAGCGCAGCGCACGCCCGCTATCCACCACCTGTTTTGCAACCATAAGCTACCTTTGTACCCAATGATCGTCGCCGCAATTTTTCGTTGGTAATCTGCATCCCTAAAACGTTGTGTACTGCAGTATAGGAAGTTGAATATTCATGCCATCGTTGGTGCTTGATATGAACCGACAACATCATCAAATGTAGTGTTTGCGCAGTTTCTTTTATTAGGCTGTATACTCGAAGTGTTCATGTGCAGTTGTTGCCCTTATCGAACGCTTTCTTCTGGACTTCTTTTAGGAATAAATAGCCGAGCTGTTTGTAAGATGTTGTGTTTTGTTTGAATCATTTTTATTATGGCATTTGTACAAAGGCGTATTTTATGCAATTTCACGATCACTCCTTGTGATGAAATAGCGCATTTTGTTGCTG